GACCTGGGATAACCCAAAAAAGTCAGACATATCTGTTTTGGCTAAAATTCCTAAAATTAATTAACACGTTCCTACAACTTCAATGACTCTTGCCTTTCCAAGACTTCAACGTTGCAATGGGATTATGGTTCTTTCGTATATATTTTAGTTGTGAGAACTCACTTCTGCAGTAACCTGAAACACCTGTTGTTCATATCTTTACATTAGTTAATTAACATCTCGTCTTTATGGTATCTGGTAAGAGTTTATCTACTGAAGGAATATATTACTTGGCCTTAGTGAGATATTCTGAATTTAATGTTAAAAACTTAGGGAACGGGGGAGGGGGATCCTTAAACCCATGGCAAGTGAGTCGTATAACTCACAGTTCCGTGATATGTTAGCAATCGTTTATTACGATTAGTGAGTTTTAATGTTATAGTGTATTACTGTGATGTATGCCGAGTGTGGGAATGAAATGAATAGGAAAATGAGAATGTCAGATACATATCCATGTTTGTAATGAGAAATGAATACGTAATCCGTTATCAGCACTGAGTCTGATGATGGTCTCAGCCAAGATTTTTATCGATGAATCAATAGAAGTGAATTACTAGAAGTGATCCAGCAACACCACTGAAAGTGATGTTGCTGGATCACTTCTTACCGGAGTTATCAGTCGAAGATTTGACAGAAATCATGAACAGTTAGTAAGGGTTAGTTTAGGATTCGGTATCTTCAATCCAGACTGAATTAAATCCCTATAAATTAGCCACTGAAGATGTAAAAAAAAAAAAAGAATCGATTCCATATGAACGTCATTCAGCATACACACCAGATGTATCACTAGCATTTTCAAAGACATAAGAAATGTATTACAAAATATAGAACTGGTAAAGTTTATGTGGATACCACCTCATGTTATCACCGCAGAAAACAAGACAGCTAATGAATTGGTAGAAATTTAGAATCATAACAAGACTATATAGCTTTCAAGAAAACTGCGAGAGAACTGTGTCGATGTTCAGCATTATACTAAGGATGGTGTATAAATATACCTAGTTGGGTGAATCTTATTGTAGCCAGCTGGCCCAGTAGCTTACGCGCTGGCCAGGAGGTTTAAGATTCATTTGCCGCGAGTTCAATCCCCACCCGTACAGTGGTTTGTTTTCAAGCGTGTCATTACGATTTCGTGAGTCAAAAAGTTGGAAATAAAATAGTAGACTGTGGTGACCAGGACTCCCTTAGGTTGTTGTGCAGGCTGGTGTAGGCTGGTGCAGGCTGGTGCAGGCTGGTGCAGGCTGGTGCAGACTGGTGCAGACTGGTGCAGGCTGGTGCAGGCTGGTGCAGGCTGGTGCAGACTGGTGCAGGCTGGTGCAGGCTGGTGTTTCAACTCCAAGGGAAAATGTATAATATATAGTGAGTGTTGGGGGGGGGGGGACTTAACACTCCGTCCATAGAATGAAAATTATAAAAGTATAGAATTAATACCACTGTAGAATTATTATTATAATCAAAAAGAAGCGCTAAGCCACAAGGGCTATACAGCTACCACTGTAGGAACAGTTGGAACATTTGATAGCAAAGGTCGACCGACTTATATGTTAATGAGTAGGATTTACTGCAGTTAGGTAAAGATAATTTACAAATATAGAGACGCCCGCAGGTAACGATACTGTAACTGTAAAATTACTTATGCCTGTAGATAAGGAAACTCTAATTGTGAAGGTAGTGTACTTGTAATTATGTAACTGCCGAGGATGGAACTGATATAACCAAAACCATGTCAACTATGTACTGTGTAGGGTCAGTGAGGCAGCACGGCTTCACCACCAGTCCAAGATACTTCATTCAGAAACACTGACATACCGGAATTAAACTCTAAGAGTGAATAAAATGATATAAAAAATGATAGGATGGATAATGAGAACTTTCAAAACTAGGGATGCCAAGCCCATGATGATTCTCTTCAAATCGCTTGTTCTCTCTAGGATGGAATACTGCTGTACACTAACGGCCCCTTTCAAGGCAGGCGAAATTGCTGACCTGTTTCTCACAATTATATCACATAAATGTTAAACCTAAGACCCAATCTAACTTTATTATTTTTTAAATACACTACCTAACAGAATACTCCATTCTACTGAATGTACAGCAATGCATGCAACCACATGACCTGTCTTTGTAATACTCATTTGTGCTTTATTGTTATCTGTTTACAATAATGTTTTATCACTGATTACATCATTGCTTAGTTAATCTTAAGTTAATTTTAAGCCAGCCCATAATGCTATGCATACAAGTGGCTTTGGCATGCTGCTCTTACCTGTATTTTTTTGTACCTCTGTATGTATGTTCAAATTATTAAATAAATAAATAAATAAATAAATAAATACTTAAGAACGATAAAACAAAATTACTGGGAAAGGTTGAAGTCCATTAGCTTGTATTCCCTGGAACGCAGGCGAGAAAAATACATGATAATATACACATGGAAAATCCTAGAGGGATTAGTACAAAATCTGCGTACTCCCTATAAAAGCAGAAGACTCGACAGGAGATGCAACATTTTCCCAATGAAAAGCAGGGGCACCACAAGTCCGCTAAGAGACAACACAATAAGTGTAAGGGGCCCAAGACTGTTCAACTGCCTCCCAGCATACATAAGGGGAATTTCCAATAGATCCCTGGCTGTCTTCAAGAAGGCGTTGGACAGGTACTTAAAGTCAGTACCTGACCAGCGTCGGTTTTCGTGAGGCCAGCAGTAACAGCCTGGTTAATCAAGCCCTGATCCATCGCGAGGCCTGGTCACAGACCGGGCCGCGGGGGGCGTTGACCCCCGAAACCCTCTCCAGGTAAATAACCCTCCAAGTGTATATTTGTTGCTCTCAGTCCACACACACACATCAACAGAGATACTCATCAAAATATATACTAACTGGGCTGTCTATGTGGCTTTATGTTCACTCATGATCATTGGCGCTGCCAAATAAACTCACCTAATCGGGGAACGCATTTAAAATCTTATTGTATGCCAATAGTAATAACATAGTTAATGCATCCAGTGTAGTAATTTATCATCAAATGCTGCAAAGCACCTGTATATTTAACTGAAATCAAGTTAATACAATGTTCTCAGCGACGTCTTCCACATACATGTAAAACTGCATTTGTAAAATGAGGTTCCCTTATCTTATCTGCACTATCACCAAGGGAAAGTGTATTGATATTTTTCTTGAGCTGGATAAATGAAAATTTAAAAGAAAACTTCATGCAGGCGAAACTGTTTGCTGAATATTTATTAAAGGAAAGAACCTACCGTCTGCCTAAGAATATTAAAATGCGAGGTGCCCGCTGGTACTATCCTGGCCACCAAGTTTAGTTCCGACTTTTTTCTCTCTCGCTCAAAGTCTTTTGAAATTCTGAGAATGTGTTCCTGATTCTCACTCTCAGAAACCAAGGAGGGTAGGGAAGGGAGTGTCCTGATCCCGGGGAGAATCTCACGGCAGAGTGGAAGACGTTTTCTAGAGAGAGAAAAAATGGAATTAGAATTTAAGAGAATTCCCTCTGAGAGTTGCTCCTTTGATCGTTTTCTTTGGAGTCTTCTTGATCTGTGCAGAAGAAAAACAGAAATCTTTTACCCTGAACTTCAGGCTTATTCACAAGGCATCGTGAGACATCTTTCTTCTCCTTGAAAGCCTCCAGGCAGCAAGAACACACTGTCTTAAAATAAACCTCTCACCCAAAACACTGGATCAGTTTTTGTTTCAGTCGCTAACTCTTACAAAAGTCATCTTTACTCTCTACACAACTTGAGTTAATTCATCATAGACTTCATCTAGAATGCATTTTGCCCACTTTTTTACCCTAGTTCATCCTTCCTCTTACACTATCTACTAAAACGTAAAAAAATGCCAGTTTCTTTCTTATATACCGCTTGTTCATGCAGACAGTGTCCTTGTAATTTGGGCAGCTCCCTCTTGTTTTCAAGATGAAAGCAACTGGAATAAAATAAAAATTTTCCTGGAGACTCAATTTTCCTGTAATAGGATAAATCTCTTACGTCTTGATCTTAAATAAAACTTGACCAAGAGGAGGAGCAAGAAGTAATATATAAGTGATAGAAAATGACTAACGATATATTAAGATAATGCATTCTCTGCTTCCTACTACTGATAGTTGGTTAGTTAATTAGGTTTAAAATCCACTGACTGATGGGTTTAAAGCCCATAATTAAGATTATTATAACCTCTTATCACCAATCAGGAATATTTTATTATCTAAAATAAGGATTTAAGAAAGTTCTTGATGGATATTCACTGAGAGTCTCACACAGTGTAAATATCCTATGTAACTCTTGAGTCAAATGGATTATCATCATTTTTCTTATGCCGGTAGTAAAAAATTGGGGAGAAAATAATTATAACATTGCGTTCTCTTCATAAAACAGAAAAACTTAAAAAAAAAAATGAAAAGTGAAGCGAGTTGTTTATACAATAACGTGTTATATAGAATTTTGTAAAAAAAAAAAAAAAGCCCTCCTTTATATTTTAAATCATAGTGTTCTACTCTCCATTAAGTTAGGCTGATCTAAAATAAGGAACATATTCACCATCGATCACTTAATAAATGTCTCGCCAGAAGAATGTAACCGTCACACACAGTTCAGATGACCTTGTTCACCCTCTTTCCTCACATCTTACCTACTATAATGTGTTGCTGTGGTTGATTTACTTGGTTTAAAGCCTGTATCAACAACACTAATGCCATCAGGGCTGTACGTCCTTTACACCATCAATAAAGTAAATTCTGTGTATATACTCTGAAGAGTAAACACTTGTGGTGTATAATTGAACTTGACTCTTTTCTCTATTATTTTAATTTTTTTTATTATGAAATTCCAAAAAAACAGCAGATGTCATAGGTTTATCTTGTGATATTGTTATTTATTTTAGGCTATTTTTTATAAAGGAAGATATTCGAAGCTTTTGAATTTAGGATAAAAAACAAACATTTACTCGCTTGTTTTTACTTTGCGTTGGTACGTCCGAAGTGCTACAGTACAGTGTTGCTTTTAATAATAAAGATAGAGTAGAGTAGAGTAGAGTAGAGCTTCATGGTCTTCACGATGAACCTTAAGCAGTGAAGAAGTCTGAGGTTGACCAAGTTGAGCTCTGGGAAACTAGACACCGAAGCAGATGTACTTGAGGTTGGAGTACTCGTCGAGGCCGTGTTTAGAACCCTCCTTGCCGAGACCTGAGTGTTTGAAGCCTCCGAAGGGAGCCTCACAGGTGGACAGCAGTCCCTCGTTCACACCCACCATGCCCACCTCCAGAGCCTCCGCCACCCTCCACACCTGACTCAGGTCGTTCGAGTAGAAGTAACCTGTGAGGGGGGGGGGGAAACATGGAAGGTAGAAGTACATTTTGCTCTGACTACTTTTAACATGACGAGCTGTAGAATTTTTATAGGAGTCACTAACTATACATCATAAAATATACTTGGAAAATCGTAGAGGGACTAGTCCTAAATCTGCACACGGAAATCACTCCCTACCAAGCAAAAGACCCAGCAAGCGGTGCAACATAATAAGTGTCAGGAGCCCAAGACTACTCAACTGCCTCCCAACATATAGAAGGGGATTACTAATAGATCCCTGGCTGTCTTCAAGAGGGAGCCGGACAGGCACCTAAAGTCAGCACCTGTCAGCTGGGCATGCGGCCGACAGTAACAGCCTGGTTGATCAGATACCGCTCCACCACGAAGCCTGGTCATGAACCAGGCTGCGGGGGCGTTGACCCCCGGAACTCCCTCCAGACAATTATTGTCGCTTCCTGCCTTTATTTTTATCGGTCTGAAAAAGACATTTCTAAATCCTTATTTTTTTTTGTCTATATAAATTATGTTCATTTGAGGGACTTTTTTTTTTATTATGTTGTAAAGTAAAAGGACACAAGTGCAACTAATGTGACATTTATTGTGGCAACGTTTCGCTCTCCAGGAGCTTTATCAAGCCATTAATTGGTAATGGCTTGATAAAGCTCTTGGAGAGCGAAACGTTGCCACAATAAATGTCACATTAGTTGCACTTGTGTCGTTTTACTTTACATATTGTCGGTAATTCTACCAACTTTATTACAATTTTATTATGTTCTAAACACAAAATATGTCATTGTTCACCAAGAATGATGACGACTGGAGTCTCCGTCAAGTAACGTGAAGACACCGACGTTGTCTTCATCTTGTCCCGCATCTGTCATCTCTTTATGGGGGGGGGAGGGGGTGGTGTCTTGAAGCTTTTAAAGAGCTCTTAATCCAAGGAACTGAAACTATCCTTCATTCCTCTGATCAAATCTAATTACCTCCTATTTTCTGGGCGCTGGATGACTTCCATCATGATGATTTATCATAATAATACTAATACTAATAATACTAATAATAAAATCGTAACAATAATATTAATAATAATAATAATAGATATAATAATAATAAAATAATAATAATAATAATAATAATAATAATAATAATAATAATAATATTATTATTATTATTATTATTATTATTATTATTATTATTATTAAAGCAAAGCTATCAGTAGAACGCTACATCAGGTGCACTCGGGGAAGTGGAGGCACTAGAGCAGTGGTTCCCAAACTGGGGGTAAATTACCCCCTGGGGGTAATTTAACCATTTTTGGGGGGTAATGGAGGGGTGACAGAAAAAAAGTTATGAATTCTGAAAATCAAGAAAACAATGCTGTACCCGGTATGAGGATTATTGTTAACTTTGTCTTAGTATATAAAGTTGTAAAGTAAACCTATTATAAGTAAGTAATAAAGTTAAACCAAATAACAATAAACATCAAAAACTAATATACAGTATTAGAAAAGAAGAAATATATAGCTAAGTGTGTGGAAACCCAAAAGTATTTTGACAAGTATGCTTCAGGACAAAAGTCACTCAGTAGCCCAGATCGACCTGTCCAGTACGCGTCACCCACTTCCTGAGGCTGCCTCTATTTCACACTGTCAGTTTATCTGTGAGCATCAGCCGAGGTATGTATGTGTACTGCCCTGTGCAGTATATAGTTAGTATTTACCCACTGTTACTGTGAATTTGTAGCTATTATTAATTTTATATATAATGTATGTGTGGTTCTTACGTTTTCAATGGTTTTGCTAGGATTAGCAGAGTATGCGAGGCTGTATACGTTCACTGTAGTCTCGCGCTACACGGTGCTCTTGTGCTGACAAGCATGATACTTGCAGCCTGACAATTTTGAATGTATGCATGTGTGCTTGCATCAGTGAACTTGTGTTAGCTGCCATGCGAGAAATTATGTACCTTGCGTCTTGCAGTGTATGCATGGATATTCTTCTTTTTCTGCAGATTGAACAAGAAAATGTCCAAAAAGCGCACCTACACTGACGCCTTTCTTCGCCTCCAGAAGTGCCATCCAAATCTTCAAAATAAGGATCAGGCTTATTTTCAGCGCCAGGCTGTAGCACTGAAGAATATCCAGTTCGGCTCATCTGGAATTCAAGCCCTAAAGCTTCAAGCTGCGGTCGAAGCATCCTACTGTGTTGCATATAAAATTGCCGAACAACAGAAATGCCACACCATTGCAGAGAATCTGATTATGCCTTGTGCATACGAGATGGTAAGCAAGGTATGTGGGGAGGATCAAGCGAAGAAACTGAGTGTCATATCTCTATCAAACAACACCATCCGCCGACGAGTCGATGACATGGCATCAGATATCCTGTCCCAAGTTACAACAGAGATCAAGGAAAGCTCATATGGCAAATTCTCCTTGCAATTTGATGAATCGTGTGACGTAGCCAGTTGTGCTGTTCTCCTTGGGTTCGTCCGTTACGTCCACCAGGACAAGATCAAAGAAGAGTTTCCTATTATGCGAGGATCTGCTGACAACCACAAAGGGAGAAGATGTCTTCAATATCATCAACAGTTTCTTTACCAAGAATGGATTGGATTGGAACAGCGTTCAACAGGTAGGAAACGATGTTTATATAAAGTCTAAATTAGTATAAATACAATGAATTACACGGCATATAGTCATATACAGTTTTATTTATTGTACAAGTAACTGTAGTGTAGCTAAAATTTTGTACATGATTCACACAAAATATATCGTGCCTGTCGTACTGAAATACTCAAGTACCGAAATAATTAATTAAAACCATATAATTATAACGCAAAAGATAAGTAACAATGACTAACTGACGCAGTCTATAATAATTTTTCTTTTTATTCCAGGTCTCCGTCGATGGAGCACCGTCGATGATGGGTGGTCATCGTGGATTACGGGGCCTCATACAAGCTATCAATCCAGAAATTTCTGTAGATCACTGCATCATTCATCGGTACTCTCTTGGATCGAAAAGCCTGCCTGGTAATCTGAAGTTAGTGTTTGAAGATGTGTTGAAAATCGTCAACTTCATCAAGTCCAGAGATGTGAATTCGCGCATATTCAAGGAGCTGTGCAAGGAAATGGGAGAGCAGTATCAAGTTTGCTCTACCACACCGATGTTCGCTGGTTGTCACGAGGCAAGGTTGTACGTCGAGTCATTGAGCTCCGAAAAGCTGTTCAGGAATTCCTGGAACAAAAAGGATCTCCTTTTGCTACCAAGTTCACCGATAAGGAGTGGCTTGCTCGACTTTGTTACTTGGCTGACATATTTGCGGAGCTGAACAGTGGTAATCTGCAACTCCAGGGCCGAAACACGACTGTCATTGATGCCCATCACACTGTGACTGCATTTCTGGGGAAACTGAGACTCTGGATTCGGCGCTTGGAGAAAGGAGTGATCGCCCCGTTTCCACACCTAGACCAGTTTGTTGAGGAGAATAGTCATGATACTGGATCACTTCTACAGACCATCAACAAAGAAATGAGCGACCATTTGAAGGGGCTTGAAACAAGCATGCATCACTACTTTCCAGAGAGTGACCAAGAAACAGCCACTTTCAGTGGATAATTCATCCCTTCTCTGTACCTGATGATGCCATTCATGATGATGATTTCCCTGCAAAGGAGGAGTGGATCACAATGGCGAGCCAATGAAGCCTTGAAAATCGAATTCCAAAACCAAAATGCAGATTCCTTTTGGATTTCACGACTACCTGACTCGCCAACTCTGTCCAAGAGAGCCTTGAAGTTGTTGGTATCATTCTCAACAACGTATCTGTGCGAGAAGGGCTTCTCAACTGTGCTGGGTATAAAAACAAAAAAGAGGACTCGCTTGAATGTTGCAAACGATGCCAGGCTGGCACTTTCAACCACGAAGCCAAGAATTCCTAAACTAGCTTCAAGTATGCAACTCCATCCATCCCACTGATGTTCTTGACATCTTTGGTAATAGTCATTAGAGATGCACAATGTTCAAATACAATAAATAAAAGAAAATATCTCAAGTGTTTTAATTTAGCCATATATATCAATAATAACAACATTTTGTGAAAGGGGTAACATGCTTTATGTGGCATGTTAAATTGGGTAACAAGCTGAAAAAGTTTGGGAACCACTGCACTAGAGACATTGGAGGCACTGGAGGCACTGTAGGCACTGGAGACGAGAGAATATGTTGAGGAGTTACTAAACGTAGATGACAAAGCAAAGGAAAAGATTTGCTTGCATGGGAACCAAGATGTGTCTGAAGGAGAAAAAATAGGAGCCTGAGGTAGTGAGTGAGGTAGTGAGTGACCCAGTGTGTGAGGTAGTGAGTGACCCAGTGTGTGACCCAGTGAGTGAGGTAGTGAGTGACCCAGTGTGTGACCCAGTGAGTGAGGTAGTGAGTGACCCAGTGTGTGAGGTAGTGAGTGACCCAGTGTGTGAGGTAGTAAGGCACTGAGTGAGGCATTGAGTATGGCACTGTGTGAGGTAGCGAGTGTGGCAGTGAGTGAGACAGTGAGTGTGGCAGTGAGTGAGACAGTGAGTGTGGCATTGAGTGTGACAGTGTGGCAGTGAGTGTGGCAGTGAGTGAGACAGTAAGTGCGGCAGTGTGTGAGACAGTGAGTGTGGCAGTGTGTGAGGTAGTGAGTGTGGCAGTGTGTGAGGTAGTGTGGCAGTGTGTGTGAGATAGTGAGTGAGGTAGTGTGTGAGGTAGTAAGTGTGGCAGTGTGGATGTAGTGATTGTGGCAGAGTGTGAGATAGTGAGCATGGCAGTGTGTGGGGTAGTGAGTGTGGCAGTGTGTGAGGTAGTGAGTGAGGTAGTGAGTGTGGCAGTGTATGGTAGTGAGTGTGGCAGTGTGTAGGGTAGTGAGTGTGGCAGTGAGTGAGCAGTGAGTGTGGCAGTGAGTGTGGCAGTGTAGGAGGCAGTGAGTGTGGCAGTGAGTGAGGCAGTGAGTGTGGCACTGTGTGGGGT